TGGCTTATTTCTCTTAACATAAATATTTTCCAGGTTCATCCATGTTGTCACAAATTATAAAATTAACTTCTTTTTAAGAGTCTGGATGCTATTACCTTGTGTTTATATGGCATATTTTATCTATTCACCAGTGGATACTTTAAGTTGATTACTTATCTTAGCTGTGGTTAATAACGCTGCAGTGAACATGAGAGTATAGACATACTGATTTCAGTTCTTTTGGATATATATCCAGAAGTAGGATTGCTGTAGTTTTAATTTTAGATTTTTGAGAAACCTCCATACCATTTTCCATAACGCTACGCTAACTTCCATTCTCACAAGCAATGAACAAAAGATCCCTTTCTTCCACATCTTCACCAACATTTATTTATCTTTTGATACTAGACATACTAACAAGTATGAAATGATAGTTCATTGTGGTTTTAATTTGTATTTCCGTGATTACAATGTGGTACATTTTCTTCTTGAAGCTGTTGGCTGCTTATACATCCTCTTTTGAGAAATCTCTCTTCAGGTCCTTTGCCTGTTTTTAAATTTAGCTTATTTTGAGGGTTGTTTTTTTTTCTTCTCTTTTTTTACTATTGAGTTGTGTTCCTGATGTACTTTGGATATTGATTCCTTACCAGATACATGGTTTTCACATATTTTTTCCCACTCTGGGATTTCCATTCACTGTTGTTTCCTGTGCAGATGCATTTAAGTTGGATGCAATCCTATATATCTGTTTTGTCTTTGTTACCTGTGCTGTTAAGGTCATCAAAAAATTGCCTAGAATAAAGTGTGAGGGTTATTGCCTGTTTATTTCTAGTAGTTTTATAGTTTAGGGGTCTTATATTTAAGTCTTTAATCCATTTTGAATTGATTTTTATATATGGTGTGAGATAAGGGCCCAATTCAATTATCTTACATGTGGGTGGATACCTAGTATTGTCAAGCTGTTTATTTAAGAAACTGTCCTTTCCCCATTGTATGTTCTTGGTACCTTTGTTGAACATCAGTTAGCTATGTCTTTGGGCTTATTTCTGGCTTTCTGTCCTGTTCCATTGGTTAGTATGTCTGGTTTTACGTGAGTACCATGCTAGTCTTGATTGCAATAGCTTGTATATATTTTAAAATGAAGAAGTTTACTACCTCCCTCCAGGTTTGTTCTTTTTGCTTAAGGTTGCTTTGGCTATTTGGATTGTTTGTTCATGGAGATATATATGTATCTCCACAAACAATCCATATGTGTGTGTGTGTGTGTGTGTGTGTGTGTGTGTGTGTGTGTATTTATATATATATGGGTTTTAGGATTATTTTTTTCCTATTTCTTTGAAAAAATAGCATTGAAATTGTGATAGGAATTGCATTGAATCTGTAGATTGCTTTGGATAGTATGGGACATTTTAATAGTATTCTTCCAATTCATGAGCATGGGATATCGTCCCTTTTTTTTTTTTTTGTGCATTCTTCAATTCTTTTCAGCGTTTTATAATTTTTCAGTATAAAAAAATCTATGATCTACTTTGTTAAATTCACTTCTAAGTATTTTGGGGTCTTTTTTGGGGTCATTCATACTTAGTATACCCAATTGCTGCTGATATTTGTATATGGACCATGTATTCTGCAATTTTACTGATTTTTTTAATCAGCTGTAATAGTTTTTTAGTGAGGTATTCAGGTTTTTTTAAATATGTAAGAGCATGTTGTCAACAGAGACTATTTCATTTCTTCTATTAGGATGCCTTTTAAAGACAGCCCCTGACTTGTATGGTTTACATCAGGATTTTTTAGTTTAAATAGGTTTGTCTGAGTATTAATTGCATTTTCAGCATATGATATGTTTATTGGAATATAACCTCATTGTAAAGTCGAGGAGCATCTGCATTTCTTTCTCTGTTTAATTATTCTGACTAGGACTCCCAGTACTATGTTGAAAAGGAGTGGAGAGAGTTTTCCACTCTTGTTTTGTTCCTGATCTTACAGGAAAAGTTTAACTTTTCTGCACTGGGTGTAATGTTAGTTATGGGTTTGTCTTGTACGGGCTTTATTGTGTTAAAGTACATTCCTTGAGAGTTTTTATTATGAAATGGTGCTGAGTTTCATCACATGTTTTTTCTGTATCTATTAAGATAATCAGATTTGTTTTAAAGTATTGTGGTTTGAGCTTAGGGCCTTGGGCTTGCTAGGTAGGTGCTCTACCACTTGGGCCAGCATTCACATGGCTTTTAATCCTTCATTTTATTAATATATGTTAAATCACATTCATTGATTTGCAGATGTTGAACCACCTTTGTATTCCAGGGTTAAATCCCTTTGATCATAGTGAATGATTTTGTTTATGTGTTGTTAAATACAGCTTGCTAGTATCTTGTTGAGGATTTTTGCATCTATGTTCATCAGGGACTTTTGCCTATAATTTTCTTTTCTTGCATTATACTTGTCTGACTTTCGTATCAAAAAAATGCTGGCTTTAAAATGAGTTTGGGAAGATTCCTTCCACTTTTGGAAGAATTTGAGAAGGATTGATACTAGTTCTTCAAATATTTGGTAGAATTCAGCTGTGAAGCCATGTAGGCTTTTCTTTGAAGGGAGACTTTTTATTGATTCAGTCTCCTTTCATGTTAATGATCTATTCAGATTTTCTATTTCTTCATGATTTAATTTTTATGTGTCTAGGAATTTTTCCATTTTTTCTGTTTGCCCATTTGTGTAGTGTGGTTGTTCTTAGTTATTTATGCTGATCCTTTGTATTTGTGTGGTATCAGTTATAATATCTTCTCTTTCATTTCAGATTTTATTCATTTGAATTTTTTCTCTTTTTTCCTGGTGAGTCTAGCTAAGGATTTGTCAATTTCATTCTTTCTCTCTCTCTCTCTCTCTCTCTCTCTCTCTCTCTCTCTCCTCCCCTCTGTCCCTCTCTCCCCCTCCCTTCCTCCCTCCCTCCCTCCCTCCCTGCCTCTTTCCCTTTCTCTCTCATACACAGACATAGACACACAACTAAAAATCTTTGGGTTTTTTTCTATTGTTTTTCTAGTTTCTATTTCATTTATTTCTGCTCTGATTTTGTCATTTCCTTTCTTCTGCTAACTTTAGGCTTAATTGGTTCTTTGGAGTTGTAACACAGTAATAGTTTTTGAGATCTTAATTTTCTGATACAGGCATCTAAAACTGTAAATTTACCTCATTGAGCTGTTTTTGTGCATATCATACATTTTGGTATATTGTTTTCTATTTTAATTGGTTTCAAAAACATTTTTTGATTCCATTTTTTTTCTTCTTTGACCCACTGGTTATTTGGGAGCATGTTGCTTAATCTCCACACCTCTGACTTTACAAGATTTCTCCTATTACGGATTTTTAGTTTTATTTCAGTCAGAAAATTACTTGATATGATTGTATTCCTTTTCTTGAGGCTTGTTTTGGGTCCTAACATATCTAGCCTGGAGAATGTTTCCAATATGCTAATGAAGATATGTCTTCTCTGCTGTTGGATGGAATGTTTTTGTACAGGTCCACTTGGTTTGGTCTAAATGCAATTCAAGACAAATGTTTCTGTATTTTCTGTCTGTCTAGATGATATGTCCATTGTTGAACATGAGGTGTTGACATGTCCTAGAATTAATGTATCGCAGTCTGTCTCTTCAGATCATTTAATAATTGCTTTATATTTTTAGGTACTCCAACATTAGATACATTTAAATATATTTACAATTTTTGTGTCCTTTGATGAGTTGATCCCAATGATCTTCTTTATCTGTTTTTTACAGTTTTTAACTTAAGTCTATTTTGTCTGATGAAAACTACCTCTGCTCTCTTCTGGTTTCCATTTACATGGAATATCTCTTCTGAACCTTTTGTTTTCAATCTGTGTGTTGTACTTAATAGTAAAGTTAATCTCTTGTAGGCAGCATATAGTTGAGTCAATTTTTTTAGTCCTTCCAGCCACTCTGTCTTTTGGTTGGAAAATTGAATCCATTTATAGTCAGAGTAACTATTGATAATTATGGACTTGGTATTTCCAATTTGTAAATTACTTTCTTGTAGTTTGTCTCTTCCTTTCATACTACTCACTTCAAATAGACTAAAGAGCTGCTGTATAATGGCTTTAGTAGGGCTATTAACAAAAGCTGAAACTATGCTTGAGCACTTTAACCCTTACATCTTTTTTTTTTTGGTTTTTTGGCAGTATTAGGGATTGAACCCAGAGACTCGTGCATGCTAGGCAAGTGCCCTACTGCTGAACTATATCCCCAGCTCTGTATCTTATTATTTTATCTTATTTAATCTCCATTGTGATTCTGAAGTGGACACCTTTATTTTACAATTAAGGAAATTGAAATTCAGAAAGATGAAGTGACTTGCCCAAGATCATATCATAGCTAATGATGGCAGTAGGATCTGCCAGGATCAGCAGAAGTTAGGCACTGTCTAACTTTAACTCTGTGTGGTTTTCCTTATATCATACTTTTCTGATTCCTAGCTATTGCTTATGCCTAATTATGACAGATAATTGTCTCTAACCATCCATTTTTTCACAGTATTGTTCCAGTGTCCTTTATATATGTATTTTGAATGAAAAATGCTTTTTAAAAACAGGAAAATAATTTTTAAAATATCTATAGCAAATGAGTAGTATATTTTCGCTTTTGCTTTGTACCTCAGCCTTCCACAATTGGACTGTTTTTTTTTTTAAACTCAAAAGTTCAGTTTGTAATGTTGCTCATGAATAACACTTCTGTTCCTTAAGAGAAAAAAAAGTATGAGCCTCTACTTCTCAATAGAATATTAGATTTTATGCAAACCAAGATCTTTTATCTTTGTTATTTTAGTTTACTCTTGCTAGAGCATAGTCTGTGATTTTGTGCTTTTTATAGCCTGTTTTCATATTATGAACCAGACACTTGCTGCAAATCCTTTTTTTTTTTTAAAAAAAGAAAAGATGGAGACATATAGAAATGAATGAAAGCAACAGGTTAAAGAAATGAATAATTATGGCACTAAATTCTTCTTGGCAGAACTTTACAGAACAGTATGGCAAAGCTGCTCTCAGATCTTAGTGTGGACACTGCTCGTTGCAAGCCTAGGAATAACCTAACCAAATCACTTCTGAACATTTATGATAAACAACTTCCACAGGACCCAGCCCCTCTTCACACTTCCATAATGAGCTACCTAAATAAATTAGAGACAAATTATAGTTTCACACATTCTGAGCTACTTTCTACAATTAAAAATGAGGACACCATAGAACCAGACAGACCCTATGAAAACATTCTTCCCTCCAAAGGCCCTCCACATAGTGACACTAGGGCCATGGAGGAATTATCCACACTTGGGAATCTTTCTGCCCTTTCCAAACAAGATTCTGATGCACAATGTAAAACCATGACTTTAATGGAAGAGGAGTGTAATTTGGATAATACAGTTTATATTCCTTTTGCTAGAAGCACTTCTAACAAGCACTCACCACCTTCTAAGAGAATATCCCCTCCACCAAAGATAAGTGTTGCTGCAACACAGCTGGTTAGCAACAGTACACCTATCTCTGAAACAAAACATAAACTATGTGTACCTGTAGTTTGTTCTTCAAAAAAAAAAGCAGAAGATGTACCTGAAAATCTTTCCAGAACAGCTAATAGGGAGGACATACTGCTCCTCAAGAAAATTAAGGAAGCAATTGGTAAGATCCCTGCTGCCTCCGAAGATCCAAAGGAACAGACTACCTGTCACAGCCCAACAGCTTGTCACACCACCAGAGTTCAAGTGAAAGGGAATGCTACTTGTGATGGCAGCTTTTTAAATTCTGACTTGATGTCAGATTGGAGCATCTCTTCTTTTTCAACGTTTACTTCTCATGATGAACAAGACTTTAGAAATGGCCTGGCAGCATTGGATGCCAACATAGCTAGACTCCAGAAGTCCTTAAAGACTGGTTTTCTGGAGAAATGAACTCAGAAGAAAAATGAGTGCTTCCCTTTTTAAGATTAGAACTTGGCTACACTAAGGGTATATGTTAGTTCTTTAGAGAAATAACTTTTTATATTATTAATTATGTATAAAATAATAAATTGAAGATAAATTTACTGTGGAATATTTTAACACTGGATAATAAAACAAGTCATCTTACAAATTAACAACTGCTAAGAGAAGAAAGTTCTAGATAACTGAGAAAATATTGTTTTAATTTTGTATTTAGCAATTAGAATTCTTTCATTAATGCTTAACTTGCTGGGTTAAGGGTACAGATTGAAAGAATTTCTGATTGTCTGAAGGGAGTCCCTGGGAACAATTATCATATTCAAACTAGAGTTTTTTTTTTCTGAGTCAGGAGACCTGTTTATTTCTTAAGGACATTTTGTGTTTTATATGGGATGCTCTGCTACAGACTAGTGCCACTGATGAGATGTATAAATATTTCTTTTTATAAGGAAAGGTGCCATATGTATATCTCATTAAAAAAAACTGATTGGTTCAAGAAAATGTAGGTAACATCCTCCATTAATATGTGGTCCTTAAATCTTTGGCATTTTATTTATTTTTATCCTAGATGTATGTTTTAAACCCCTGAAAAAATAAAGTCAGATTGAAAAATGCTAATAATCAAGCTGTAAGTTGGAAATCTGGTGTTTTTTTTTTTTTTTTTTATAAATAAGTGTTGGAATTTTTGTGCTTACTATCTTTGAATATGATAGAATTTATAAATCTTGGCACTAGTAGTAATTCTTCCAGGATCAATATTTTTTTTCAGCATTTACTTAAGAATATGGTCTATTCAATAAATAATATCAACTGTTTGGTGATATGGTCTTGCTATGTAGCCCATTCTGGTCTCAAATTCAATCCTCTTGCTCTGGGATTGCAGACATGTATATACCAAGACTCTTTAACTGCCCAGTGTCACGTCTTTCCATGTAAGTAACATTTTAACTCTTAGCTGAGTTTTGTGCTGTTACTAGCACTTAATACAAGTCACCTGCCTAACACAATTGAATTTAGTACTTGGATAGGCCTTGGCATTAGAGTGTTCTGCTGGTCCCAGGATCTCTTTCTCCAGCTGTTTTAGGTGGAGGTACAATCTCTCTGCAGGACACAACTAGAGTTTTTGACATATCCAGATTTTACAGATAGAAAATTTATAGATTTGTAGAGTGAGTTCTAAAATATTTTAATAGAATTGTTCATTGGCATTTTGAACTCCTTCTCATAAATTAATTTATTGACTTCTTATTTGGAGATAACAGGCCACAACTCTTCCAACATGTAAGTTCAGAAATGAAATAATAATGCAAGGATCTTTCTGCTTTCAAATTTATCAACTGTTAGTCATAAACAGAAGTAAATTCTTAAAATATATACTAATTATGAAGCTATAGAGAGAAAATAAAGTGTTTTTCCTACTGATAACATAGATCTTTTTTGGTTATCCTAGAATGTGTGTGGATTTCTTCCCATTAGCAAACAAGCAATCAATTCTGCAGCAGATGCCAGGTGGACATCCTCCCAGGGCAGAGGCAGAACCCACAGGTTGAGGACACAGTCCCACCAGACTGCCTCCCACTTCAGAGCCAGTCACACATCCAGAACTCTGACTGACCAGCTATGATTTGGGGTTCTCACAACTCACAGACTATATAAGTCTGTTAGAGCAGCTTATAGAACAGGAGGCAACACATTAACTGGTTTGTTATAACAAATATTTTAAAGGATACAAATAAACAGATTAAGAGATACATAGGACAGGGAAGTTCCCAAATACATTGGGGTGTGCCAACCTCCTGGCACATGGATGAGTTCTTATTTATCTTCCTGTAAGCCTCCACATGTCCATCTGTCCAGAAGCTCTCTGAACCCTTCCTTTTGGGATTTTATTGAGTCTTATTTACATGAAAATGATTGAAGCACTGACAACTGTTACAGAAATGTGATTGGACAAAAAGGGTTATAAGCTAGTACTAGTAGGCTGAGTGGTGAAACCCAGCAAGGCCTGTCTGTTTAGATTCTTGGCCTCTCTGTACAGCATTCCTTCCTTCTGGGTATAAGGTAGGACTTTTCAGTGCTATGATCAGACAAAGTAGGTGAGAGAACTTTTTATGGTTTGCTCTGAGGCAGAAAGTTAGGGGAACATCATAGTATATTTTCAGTTTCAGTGTATCTGTTGTATCCTGAGTTACATTCCAAAGAATGAACAACTCAGTGAAGAAATGGGCAAATGAACTAAACAGACAATTTTCAAAGGAAGAAGTACAAATAGCCAATAAATACACAAAGAAATGCTCAACATCCCTGATCATAAAGGAAATGTAAATCGCAACTACATGAAGATTTCACCTCACTCCAGTCAGAATAGCTGTCATCAAGAACACAAGATATTGTATGAAAGTGTGGGGGGGGGTGGGGAAGGAACTCTTATTCACTTGGTGAGGATGTAAATTAGAACAACCACTATGGAAAGTAATATGGAAGTTCTTCAAAAAACTAAAAATAGAACTATCATACAATCCAACTTTTTAAAACCATGTCACCAGAGTATTATACCAGCTTCCTCACTGATTTGTGGGAGTGATAAATGGCAGTGTTTGAAAATCAACCACTGTATAATCTGCGACTTTTGGCACTTAAAAAGCCCTTACTGGTTGGACCTGGTGGCTCAATTCTGTAATCCTAGCTATTTGCAAGGGGGAGATTGGGAGGATCATGGTTCCAGGCAAGCCAGGGCAAAAAGTTAGTGAGACCATCTCAACCAATAAAGATTGGGCATGGTGGTGTGTGCCTATCATACCGGCTACACAGGAAATGTAACTAGGAAGACAGTGGTCCAGACCAGCTGGGACATAAAGATGAGACTAATCTTAAACATAAAGCAAAAAGGGCTGGGGGTATGGCTCCAGAGGAAGAGCACCTGCCTAGCAACCACAAGGCCCTCAGTTACCACACGACAAAAAACACAATTACAGGAAATGATAGTTTTAACTGTTTTCCTTGACCAAATCACCCCTAGGGTTCAGTGACCACTGATGGCTCTAAATCTTTAGAATCACTGACAAACTGGCAGACATCAGAAAAAGATAAAGCAGGATGGTAAGGACTGGTTTTTTTATTTTATGTTTTTTTGTTTTGGTGGTGCTGAGGTTTGAACTCAGGACTTCATGCTCACTAGGCAAGTGCTTTACCACTTGAGCCACACCCCAGCCCTTATTTTCTAGAAAGGATCTAACACTTTTGCTTGGGGCTGGCCTCAGACTGTGATCCTCCTACCTCTGTCTCCCATGTAGCTGGAATTACAGATGTGTACCACCACACCCAGCATTTTCTTTGAGCTAGTATCTCACTATCTTTTTTTCTGGGCCTGGGCTGTTCTTGAATTTTGATCCTCCAGATCTTTGCCTCCTGAGAAGCTTGGGATTACAGCCACAAGCTACTGTACCTGGTCTGAAACTTGTTTTTAGAAGGGAGAAAAGTACATGAATTTTTCTCGCATTGACATTGGGATTCAAAGTGGGTTTTGAGACTTCTAGAACCCCAGCACTATCTTCTCACTCCCTGGGTAAGGTGGTTCATTTCTCCTGGAGATCCCAAGGAGATAGGCAGAAGTATCACAAACTACCCAGGAGGAGAACTCAGTCCCCTTTAGAGTAAAAGCCGTACATTTGTTCAGATCTGTAACAAAAAATACCATCAGCTGTTTAGTAGGAAGCACACAGCCTTTCCACCCCACCATCCTTTCCAGATTGTGCACTTGGCTATGAGCTCTAGGCCCAGAGTACAGTAGGAAACCAGAATCGAGTATTTTAAAAGTTAGCTGCTCCAAAACAAGCAGAACAGATCCTCTTAGTGGGGTAGTATTTTGTGGTCTGGTGAGAAGAAAGGAATTAAAAAAAAAATTCATTTTCAAACCCAGAGTCTCAATGGGTGGAGAGAAAATTTTCTCTTTTTAGGTCAATTAATGCTATCACACTGCTGTCAGGATAGGGAGATGGAGTGCTGAGAGATGAGAGAAACTAGGGCAAGTTGATAAATACATACTTGAATAAGTAGGTCTTCACTCTTTAGAGCAGTGAGTTATGTTCTACCACTCTGTGTTTCTTTCCCCCGCCACAAAGCAAATGATCATTTTGTCACCAGAGACTTGGTCCACTGTCGCCACCTCTTCCCTCTCCACATCCCAAAAAGCCTGAAGGTCTGTCTCATTAGATGGTTGTAATAACAGATGACTAAACACATAAAGCAGCTCCTCTCAACCACTAACATACTCAAGGTATGAGAATTAAATTGTAATTTTGTATCTTGGTCCAAAATTTGAGAAAAGGTCATGGTATGTTATTGATTATAATGAAACATTTAAAAGACAGTGATAAGTCTGGAAAAGTCCATTTGAAAACATGGTATATTAGAAGAACAAAAGCAATAATTGGGCCAGGTAACCTACTGACTTTGTCTTCATGTGCTATGTGGCCATTCATATACAGTTTATTCTTTCCTTTTGCTACATCCTGAACAAAGACAAGAAAGTGTGCCTTTGAGAGACCTAGAGCTCCAGAACCTGCCTAATGAGGAGACCTGATCTCAAAGACTCCTCCAGTTCAAAAGGCTAACCTTTCCAAGGAGAAGGCTCCCAACAGCGAAGGAACATGGCTCTGATATACTCCTACCGTGTTAGTGTCATACAGAATTTTAGCCTTGCCATCTTGCTTATTTTCTTTTTTAATTCTTGTATCTTTGGTACCTTGTCTCTATACTTTTCTTTTGGCTGATGTTAATTTCAGAGCATCTTTGTCTAGTAACTCTGAGGACTTGAATATTTTGATTTCATCCTCACACTTAAATGACAGTTTACATGGGTTTTCAATGTGAAGGTGTAAGTATAAAGTTGCCTTTTCTCCCCTTCATTTGTAAAAACCAACAAGAAGAGTACAAACTCCATTTGTGGGGAAACCCAAGAGACACCTCTAAAACTAAGCCAAAAAATAGGTACAAGGACTGCCAAAAGCAGTCATAATCAAGTAGGAGTACATAGGAGAGGAAACAGTGTGGTCTGGCTGCAGATGGCAGAAAGCATTAGCAGAGTACATTTCTCAAAGCTAAGCAACTTACATAGAGGAAACGATTTTA